TTTAGCACTTCTACGTACTATACAATAATTATTAAATTTATTTTATGAGATATTTAACAATTGTGTGCAATATTTCTATTTATATCCCATGTTATTATGTCAAGAATAGTCAAAACTGTCAACAAAAGGGAGAGAAACCCAATATATAATAATTTACAGTTTAAAAATATTAATTGCAACAAATGCAATTTAAAAGTCATGCCTGAAGGTGTTCATATCTATATCTGTATCTATCTATCTATCTATCTATCTATCTATCATCTATCTATCTATCTATCTATCTATCTATCTATCTATCTATCATTTTTTTATTTTAAGACAAACATACACAGACAATACATTAAAAAAAACATAAAACCATCTTCCATTTTGTACATATAGTGTGTCAGTTGGTTTAGAATCTTTTCTGTGATCTTTCATAATCATTGTTCACAATTTATATCAATCTCACATTGTCAAACTAACATATGCTTATCTATTAATTATTAATTATCCTGCTATTTATTCCATCAGTATTATATTATGCTGTCATCCAATGATTATATATGTCTACATTATATTTTGTATCAGTCAATTAAACTTCTATGACAAAATTATCTATTCTGTTACCTTACCATGTCTTTTTATCCAACCATTGATAAAACAAATCCCATATCATATAAAATTGCTTGTCTTCTTGTTCTCTAATTTCAAATGTCAGTTTACTCATTTCAGCACAGTCCATAGTATAATCTATTATCAAGCCTCTTGTGTAGGCCTTCATCATATCCCAGAGATTCTGTAAAGATGTATCCTCTTTTCTATTTTCTTTGAAGAAGAAAACAATTTCTTTCTCTATTTTCTGTTTAAAGTCTTTTTCTTTTAATATCATATTATTTAAAGTCCATCTAGATCTCCTTTTGTATCCTTTCCAAATAACTAACACTGGATTATGATCTGCCCAAGTGCTTGTTTCTATTTCAATCTGTTGTACATTAGTCAATAATTCTGCTGACATCCATATCATACGGTATCTATTCTAGACCAGGATGTATGCCTGTTTGAATAAAAAGTATATTGCTTACTTTCCGCATTTCTCTCTCCCCATGCATCTTTTAAGATAAATTCTTCTATTATTCGAAGGAAGGATTTTGGTAGTATCTTTCTAACTTTCTTTATTGTTTTCTGTGTTTTATAATCCAACCGATCATTAATTATTCCATTAAAATCTTCCATCATATAAATATTAACATAGTCCAATTTAATTATTTTCGTATGTAATTTTCTGTAGAATTCTTCTTGTTTATCATTTGGGGCATAAATTGCAATTAGAAGTGTTTTAACGCTGTTATCCGTTATTTCCACCATCAGAATCCTTCCATCATCATCTGTGTAGATTAGTTCTGCCAAATTTGTTTCTTTAATATATAATACCACACCTCTTTTTTTGGATTGTGCCAGTGATGTAAATAATTTCCCTAGTTTTCCTTGTTTTAGTATATATTCATGTTGTTTTTTAATATGTACTTCCTCTAAGCAGGTTATATCAAATTTTAATTTTTCTAATTTGTAAAATACTTTCCTTCTTTTAGTAGCCAAATAGAGTCCATTTATGTTAAGCTTTATAAGAGGGTTTTATTGCTCTAGTAGATCTCAATTCTCATTGTTCTCTGATTTCACCACCTACTGCACCTTTTTCTTTTTCAATTACTGCTATACACTCCTTTTGAAATTCAATTAGTGACTCTTCCTTTCTTTCTTCTTCCTCTTTTCCTTTAAAGTATTCTAAGTAGAATAGCTCAGCTTTTTCAACTGTGTCAATTCTGTGTCTTTGTTCCTGCCAAGTGAACAAGAGGCCTTCTGGCATCAACCATCTATAGTTTACTCCTCTTTTAAGTAACACTTTAGTCAAGAATAAATATTCTCTTCTCATCTCTCTTACTCTTCTTGGTATCTGTTTCAGCACCACAATTTCTTTGTCTTTATATTTTAGTGTTTTCTCTCTCGCCACCTGGAGTATCTGTGTCTTAATAATCTTCTTAGTAAATCTAATGTGAACTTCTCTTGGTAATCTATTCCTCGTTGCATATCTTGTGTAGACACGAAACACTTCATCCATCCCTTCCATCATCTTTTCTTTGGTTATTTCCAGTGCTTCTGCCAATATTTCTGCCATTATTTCAGCAAGGTTTTCACCTTTTCCCTGAAGATGTTCTTGAAGTTGCAAGAAACAGTAACATGGACAACTGAGAATAAAAAGGGAAATGTCTTACACACTTGTCTGATTATTTGGCCTATGAAATTGCAGGCATCATTAAGATAACTTTTCATGCTAATCTTATAGTCTGGACAGTTTCATACAAATTAGGTGGTCTCTCAGGTAGACAGGTCTTTAGATTAATCTTTTATTGTGTTTGGAAAATAACTGGCAAATCAATTACTTGGCAGGGAATTGATAGCATATACAAGGAAACTTCAGATTTGGGCATATATTTCACATTGTTAATTGCTTTTGTTCATATGTTTGCACAAGCTTGTTTCCAGCACTCAGGAGCTAAAAGTAGCAGCAGATAGTAAATATTTATATTACAATCTGAAGAGCCAATTGTTCTAGCCCTACTGAATCTATGCCAGTAAAAAAAGGCATGTTCAATGATTGTTTCACTTTAATGCAAAGCATGCAGTCCTGCCGTGTAATTCCCTTCTTTGTAAATACAGTATGCATTTGATTGCTTAGCATATTTCATAGAGTGTCTTTAGTAGCTTCAGAATACACGTGTGTTCATTGTTATGTGTGTTCATTATTATTGTGTTCAAGTAGCCAAGACAAGCATTTCATTCCATGTGACTGGAAGACTCATTCTATTCATCTAGGAAACCAAACATAAATAACAGTTAGAATATTTCTTCCCTTATAGTATCTTTCTGAATAACTAGAGGCTTGGAAGTCTATTTATATTTGTTTCATCTTTGAATCTTGAGCAAAGTGTTTTAACTGTACATCTGTCTTTTCCAGATTCTGCTGGGTTTAATGTAATCTCCTGTACCTTTCCAGCAGTTTTGAACTTGTTCTGCAGTTCCTGCTATTGATGTTGTTGCCTAGCTTTGTGTATGTAAGACGACAGGATGACATCAAATACTTTTGTTTGTGAGAGTGTTCTGTAGTGATTAAGGCACCCATTTCCTGCTGTAGAATTACATAAACTGCTAATATTGCAGCTAGATTTAACTTGTTTGTCTGTATTCCAGCATGGCCGTATTAATTCAACACAAAAATATGCTACTGATCCTGTAGCTTCAAATGTCTGTACCCAATGCCAGATTTATGAAACAGTCTATATTGCTAATGGAACCCTTCCTAAGTAAACATCCTAATAATTTCTTGCATTAATTGTTGTTACTACCACTAGTACTAAAATACTACTCCTTTAATATGTTCTATTTTAAATCAGTGGTTCTCAACAGCACTCACTATTCTACTCCAGCTAGTTTATTACTCTACTGTAGATGATCTTCATATGAAAAACCAAAATGACACTTCAGGAAATCATGATTGATTATGTGCCATCAAATCATTGTTGACATAGATAGATTTTCTCCTTGACAATCTCCATAACCTGGTCTTTCAGATCTACCAATAGTGCACTCGTTGCCTGGTTGCTGGTCATCCTCTTTGTTTCTCGTTTTCCTTTTCCCACCATTAGATCCTTCTCTAGAAAGCTAAGTTTTCACATACTATATGTCCAAAGTAGAAAAAATTGAGTCTGTTCTGTTCATTGTGAATTCTGTTCATTCTGAAACATTAGTCTCCAATTGCTTACTCCAATTGCTTATTCAGTCCTCAGTTAGTGACCACTTTTGGAACCATCACCTCAGTCATTAAATGAAGCAGCTGCTAAGTGAAACTGTGACTGCGTTTTTGATCTTACTTCAGCTTTCTTTTCCTTTACAGAGGGTCATAAATGTGGATGTTGGTTATAGTTACTTTATCATCACTGTCATCACTGTACGAGGCAATTCACTAAACAAAGACTATATTTTTGTGCTGAACACTATTTTATTAATATAGTGGATCTTTAATATGAATAACAATGCGACATAACAGCATTTCTATTTATTAGAATTATTTATTTCTTCTATTTATTATTCCAGCTAGATAAACTTTCCTCTGTGATATTCCAACTCCCCTACTCAGCTCAGCTGATGTCTATCTGTCTATGTATCAATCTAATCCTCTACCCCAATCATCAACCCCAATCATCAACTTGTATTATATTCACACCTATTAATCATAGTTTTCCATGGGTTGGATATGCTACACAGCAAAATCTTCAGCATCAAATTACTGGTTCATTGTAAACCATACTTTTTTAAGTAAAGAAAAAAGTAAACAGAACATTTAGGACTTTTGTAAGTCAAAACCATCTGGAAATGTTAGCACTGAAAACTGCATAGGAAATGTCTCTGCCATGTAGGTGACTAAGATAGCTAAACTAGAACACAATGCACTGTGTCACATAATTCCTGTCTTACTTTGTGGCTTTGTGGGTTATAATCATACACAAAATGTGTGCTATGACTGCATTCCAAGCAATGAATTGCTAGTTGAATACAAACTTTCATTACTGATATTCTACTTTTCTGTTATGTGAAGGACTTATGTTCTTTTATACTATTACTCTTGGATGACAATGACATCTGATTTGGTGGTGTGGGCTGCAAAAGTTTTCAACTTCTGCAATTGGCCTGATCATGGCAGCATCAAAGCCATTCTCTAAAATACTTTTAATAATAAATAATGAACTATTGTAATAAATAATGAATTATTGATATGTATTGTTTATGTTTATTAACCAATTTGCAAGAGATGATGAACCTAGACTACTGGAATTTTACTTTATTATTTACATAGACATTGAAGGAGAATAGTTGGCAAGTTTCTAGTCTCCAAGTGTTTCTGAATTGTACTTCCCAGCAACATCAGTCTGCATGGTCAGTAATAAGAAATGCTGGGAGCAGAGATGTCTGCATGGTATTAATCAAAAAAGTCAAATGTCTTTGCTTGGTTTTTATGTTCAATGAATGCATGTTGTAAATGTAAATGTGCAGAACTTTGATCAGACCTTCATGGCTACCAATCTTGACATTTTTGTCCATATCCTGCAGACATCTCTGCATGAAAGCAAACACATGAAGGGCCGTGGGAATCTGTCATTCATTTTACAGTTATACATTCTTTTATTTTTTTAAAAATGCCAATACCAGCCACTCCTTTCCCTTATCATTCCCAGTGGTGTAGATTTAAGAACTATAAATGCAGTCATGAGAAAAATGATACATTTATCTCATAAACTGAAAATTGGAGGAAAACAATACATGAAAAATGCTTGAAGCAAGCAATACATTCATTTTTAAAAGAATCAGTTGGCTGAAATATAAATGTATTTTTCAACCTGAGAAAAGAGATGCACAAATGGAATCTAAGCTAGTGGAATGTAGATTTGCAAGCATCCTTCCTTAGCATTGTCTATTAAAATTATGTATGTAATTAATTTGATGAAGTACAATTATTACAATGATTTGATTTGATTTGCATTTCCCTTTGTTTTTCTTAAGATCATTGGCCATCCAAGCATTAATTGTGTGATTTTTTTAAATAAGTCCTTTGGAGTTTATCATAAGTTGACACTTTTTCCCTGCCATGCAAAATGTGTGGCTGACAAGTCTTTGGTGTAAATATATTTGCTGCTTATATTCACACTTTGCTTTACAGGACAGTATTTTTAAATGATAGTGTTACAGATTTCATTATACAAATTCTGCAGACAATTTTATGCTTTTCCACCGAACAATTCAAACTTGATCATTATGAGGTTTTTTAACAGGGGAAGACAATAGACATAAGCTTTAGAGAAGAGTGTGACATTACTAAACAAAATGGGTTTCAAAACTGGAAACCATTAAAGAAGCTAGAACAAAAAATAAAGACATATCTTTTAAAGTAATATTGGCTGATTTCTATTTTAGGTCAGCTCCAATTCCTTTCCAAGGTTCTGCTTCCAGTCCAGAAATTTCCTCTCAGAGCAACATGACCAGCAATCGGAGACTGCAGCAGACACAGGCTCAAGTGAATGAGGTGAGTTCACCCAAAACATATTTGTAGATGTTATGATTTTTAAATTTCCAACATGGATAAAACATGGAAGTGTATCAGGCCACAGGTTATAGAAACATAGAAACATGGTTATGTTTATGGTTTAATGGTCAAATAATTGTTAAGCATTCTGGCATTCTAGAACTTAAAGATAACTGCAGCAAAATACTTAATATGTATGTAAAGCTAATAATCTAGAAAAAAGAACACCAATTCATTAATGATCAAGGAGTTCAACATGGTAAATACTAGCTGTGCAATTAAAAGAGAATTTAAGACTCAAGGTGCAGATAAATCTATTGGTTTCCTTAGATGAAAATTCTCTATGGTACAGAAGAATGCTCTAAACAGCTCTAAACATTGGCACAATCAACAAGTGGGAACACAGAAATATCATGCCACTGTTTATCACATGCTCCATGATCAATCAGAAACACAAAGAAACTTTTTCTGTAGTGGGTTTTATGAAAAATACTTAAGTGGTTTTGGAGAATACAGTGTCCTTGAAACAAATATTTGGAGATTGAAAAAGTACAAAATAATTGTGTATTACTTGGATGAATCACTGGCTAAGTTAGTGCGTTATGTAAGGCAATTTTTCCCTCAAGTCTGAGGTAACACATTGTGATAACCCAAGCCATTGCAGCTAAGAAATCATGGTTTATTGTTTACTATATTGTCAGCTCAATTAAATTGCAGTAGTTCACTAATCATAGTTAACTAATCATGGTTTAGCATAATGCATGAATCCAGAAATAAATGGGAGTCATGGGAGTCTCAGTGCAATGCTACTAAACCAATCCCGTAGATGGCACTACACACTTACATACAGAATCTAGTGCTGCATGTATTCAAATACATTGTATAGAGATGTTACATTAATTGTCTGTAAGAGCCTTTGGCAAAAACAGTCTATATTAATAAGGCACTGTTAGCACATTAAGAAATGATACAATTAATATAGTCAAACATTATTTGGTGTGTGATTTGAAAATCTACAAGAATCTTCAATTGTCCAGAATTTAGGACACCCATGCAAAATTGTTTACAAAATGCACTTCCAACTGGTTTTACAAAGAAAGGGACACTGGAAAAACAATGCTAAACAGACATAGCAAGTGAAGTGGCTATGGATAGATTTTAAAAATGAAAAACTTGGATCTGTTTAGTCTATTCAGGAGCAAATATTTTTAGATTCCTGCAAATATAATCCTTATAGTAACATCAGCTCAGATCGAGAAGCCTGGTGTTTTTTACAAGGCAATGTTTCTATGAATTATTTTAAATAAAGTTTATTTTTAAACACAAACAAAGTGGCCTCATTACTTTATAAGACCCAATTTCATTTACTAACCCATCTTACTACAAAAAGTAACTGTTTGATCTTAATCTTTTCTTTTTCCATAAAGAAAATTTTATTTATTTAATATAAAAAGTGCTTTAAATAATGTGACCATTTTCTCGATTCAGTAGTCTAATTCTTACCTTCTTGCTCATAATAAATTAACAGAAGGACAATGTGAAGATGTCTTCCTACCCAGTCTCTGAAGTTCCTGCTCCTTGAGCTCCTGGTTCCCAAAATTGTTCTAATGACATACTGACTATGATTAATTCTTAGCCTTTTGGACCCTGCACAAATTAGACAATGCCAACAAACACATCCTCACCTTTTTTGCATACATTTAATGTCTACATCTAGAAGGTATGTTAGAAAAGATATTGGTAGACTTTGTTCAGTATAAACCTATGACAACCTTTGAAATTTCAAATAAAGTTGCCTTGTATACTTTTTTTCAGTAAGCCGGTTGTGCTTTATCTTAGAATTATCTTTCCTTCATCAGATGTTGAAAAAGTGATTCTACTTCAATACTTTATAAGTAGATTTCCTAAACACTGTGCCATTTTCAGGTGGTGGACATCATGCGGGTCAACGTAGACAAAGTACTAGAAAGAGATCAGAAGCTTTCAGAACTTGATAACCGAGCAGATGCTTTGCAAGCAGGGGCCTCACAATTTGAAACCAGTGCAGCTAAGCTGAAGAGGAAATACTGGTGGAAAAACTGTAAGGTATACTTGTCTACCATATGATACAATGTGACCTTAGTCCAAGAGAAATAAGGACAAACATCAGCCTAAATTCACTGTGTTAGTCAATTAAAATGAAAATGTATATACTCCTGATCAAGAATTTTAGAGTTTGGTAAAAATGTAGGAGTTGAGGTTACAATATTATATATTTATTACATATTATATATTTATTTATAAATTTATTATATAATATATAATAAAGAACATTTTATTGAAAATATTGTAGTTACACTTTATGCATAAAATAGATTGTTTATTTCTTACAAAATAACTGATGGCAGATATAGGAAAAGTTAGCAAAGAAATTCTGCATTTTTACCTCCTTTCCTTATTTAGCAAAATTTACTTTACATATCTGCATGTAATATACCTATTGATTAGATGGATATTCCAATCACTTCCAGTTACTGATTCTTTTTTCACTATATTTTTCTCTCTTCAGTACTAAAATATACATCAGGCTATGTCTAATCTCGAAATAGACTACTGTAGATAGTTTAGGCTTATCTACCCTGTTTCTCCAACAATACGGCCTCCCCCAATAGGAAGTCCCAGCATGTTTTATAGGCATGAAATGAAATTAAGCCCCTCCCCCCAAATTAAGGCCTATATTAAAACATGTGAAATGGGGGGAATGGTGGGGGGGCTTGCTGTTAGGAAGTACTTTTGTTGCACACCCGGATATGGTGCTGCCTGCGTTGACCTCGATACAAAGTGCCCCACCAACGCCGAGGTCAACATCCAAGCCGTTGCCGCCCGCCTGAAGATGCAAGGGGGGGGAATTAAGTCACCCCCGAAAAGACGGCCTAGCCATTTTTTCGGGGCTCAAAAAAAAATAAGACCCAGCCTTATTCTATGAGAAACACGGTATCATAATGTTATATTCTGAACAAACATTATGTTTCTTTTTGTTTCATACAAGGACTTGCTTCCAGGTTGTACAAAAATAATTTTCTAACGTTATTGTTTTTCCTCTATACACATTCTTTCTACTATGAAAACCCACCTGAGAACAACAGCACCTAGAGCTGTGAGAACAGTGCTGCAATGCTTCAATTCCAGTAAATACAGCAAAGTGGTACCATGATGCAGTAAATAAGGTGTTCCACTTCCCATTGAATTGAAGGGCAACATCATTTTCTTTTTCAGAGCTATACAAAGGAACTTTAGAACTCCTTTGTATTGTACGCTACAGCTGCAGCAGATCTGGCTTCTGTTATCCAACCATCCTGTCTCATTCATTGAAGTTTGAGGGGCATCATTTTTTCATTGTTAATTCAGACTTATTTTCCTACCATTTTTCTTTTCTTGCTATGTCAACAATGGGTCCTGTATTTTTCCACAGCTGTCTGCCTTCAATGAATTTTTGAATTACCTCTCCAAAGTAATTCAGAAACACTTTAATATAATTTGACACCTTGAATTCATCTGAAGGTTCAGCTTGAAAATTCACCCCAAGGAGCTTATTTAATCAATCTTTTTTAAAGATTAAATTGCACCTTCTAAATATTGTAGTCATAATATACAGGGCACACCTGTAGTGTTTCCATTCAAATAAAAGCTAAGTTACCTTTTAATATCAAGTTTGAGGTTAATTATTTTGTGTTTTTTTTCACTTTCTAGATGATCATTATCCTGGGTGTATTATGTGCAATCATTCTTATCATAATTATAAGTGAGTAACACAAATGTTCATTTTGAGTAACACAAATGTTCATTTTGA